ACTGCATATGCTGAAAGTGGTATTTTTTCTGTCCCGTAACCACGATCTGATGTTTTTGATGGAGTTAAACGACCTTCCGTCTGTGCTATTCAGGACTCGTAAAATCTTGTATATTTTTCGATATATATCAATATGATGATGCCTGTAAACTGGCTTCTCTCATGTTACATTACTAATGTGAGAATCAAAGGTTATTATTATCATTCTCCCTTACGCGTAAGTACTCTGCACCATCGTATTGTTTCTATAGCCCTGATATGGTAACACCCAACAGGCAACGCCATGATCATCCCCCCTCCATGACTATATAAAGCGTGGTTTCCATCTTAGCAGAAATCACGAATTTTATCCAGATGTTTATAAATTCATTAAACTCATGCATATAGGTTTTCTACACGTAAGCTAACACCTTGTCCAAAATCCTTTAATCCCTCCATTTCACGGTGATATCCTCGGCTTCAGTTTAGTTTTCACTACTTTCGTGTGCACTTTTATCTTCTTCCCCACAAGCTTACCTCGAAATAGTTGATTTTGAATACTTCTTCAGGTAACTTTCGTGGCCAGTACAAAGAACTCACCGGAATATATCACAGTTGACCTACTCCTGCTTATTTTTCTGTGCTCCAGTTTCGAATTTCGCCTGCCGCTCTCTTTTGTTATTCATTTTTCGGGTCTTATTAACCAATCCTGCATCCATATGGAATCCTAGCAATCGCATTTGTCAGCGTTCCCCATGCCATCAGAAGTAAATGACGAACGCACACAACTCGGGGTCCCGCCTGCAGTGCCCGCCCTACCTTCAAGAATAAATAAATTAATTAATAAATGTTTTATTCTCGCTTTAAAAAAGGATTTTAACATGACAGGCTTCATCACGTTGATACACCTAAAAATATCCACAAGACTTGAGCCCTGGGTGGTACTGACGGAATTTCATTAAACTCAATTAAAAACTGCTGAAGGTTCTGCTAGTTATGAAATGAACAAGGAAATATTACTTTACAGCGTACATAGAGTGTTAAAGTTTAGATTGTAGTAAATATTGTCCTCATTTAACAGGTTTAACATGAGGGATACCAGTTTACAAGCACCGTCAAATTCATAGCTTTTGAAAGTATCTAGTATTAGATTATTTACATACCAAGTCATTAGCGCGCACAATCTTATTAAAATTCACTGAAATTCAGGAGACGGATATGGATTCCAATCTCACATCACATAGATAGGTTCCACTATCAATATCAAAAGCGCGCAGTGTTCAAAGTTTGCGTTATAACCAACCGACGTTGTTAGTCCATTCGCATAGATCGCTGATTAGTAATATAACAGTTTATTACTTAGAATGATCTTCAGTTTTTAGTTTGCTAACCACAAATGACCCATTTATACAATCCGGAGTATCAATAAAGTATCCACAGTTATATAACCAACGTGTGTGGCTATATCAATGCATCTCCAGGTCACCATGTTACGTTTAAACGCAATATAAATTAAATCTGCTGGGAATACTTGTTGTATTGGTTGAAAATAGACGTTGAAACATTCAGTAGTCCAAGTGGCAGTATTTATACGTAGACTACGGGTATCTTTTGTATTAGTATAGGCGGCATCATTCGAGAAGTGTATTTGATGTGTAGTAAGTTCCATATGAAAGGGTCTCTTGGTACAGAGTACTAGAAAATATGTAGTGTGGAGCCACTGCAGGTAAGTGACGTTCTGAGCCAATATGTTAATTGGTCTCTGGTTTAGTCATCTGTTCAGAATGTCTCTGCCAATATTGGAAGATTCAAACAATAGCCGAATATTCTCTTATTTCGAACTGAGCCTGTTTCCGTATGCTGAACAATTATTCCGCGAAGCATTAACGTTCTTTCTCTAGACACTCCTGTTATGTGCCGTGAATAACGGTATCCAATGTATAGCTTAACTTTGTACACAACAGTCCTTTCCCCTTTGTCAAAATGGTCAAACTTGTAGACTGGTTTGTATTCATGTGACTTATGTTGCACGAAATATATTATTGTTATTATTTTTCTGTACGTGCTTTTCACTCCTCTTTTCTTATTCTCCTCTAACCTCCGCAGCCATCTGTGGCTGCCTAACTATCTCAGTCTGCAAGTTACGATTACCAATCTATAAAAGCGCCCATCTCATCGGGGCACATTCGGAAGGTCCGGGTCAAGTTCACTACCTGTCCTTTGAACGGGCTGCAGTGCGTCAAAATCACTTCAAGACATGAACTGGCGGCCTTAATGCGGTATCCTAATTGAAGTTTAACGTGAGTAGAATCGAGTATGCTGAACATATGGCAATCAAGACTTCTGGAATCTCCGCGAATGGACCATGATAGGCGGAAGCTACCTGCTGCGGCCTCCTTTCAGTGTGCTGAAGTTCTCAAACCGCGGCTTATGAAGACAAGCAAGTCATTCACTTCAAAGACTGAAAGTAGTGATGTATTACCAACAGAATACAGGAAACAGCTGCATCGTTCCACTTTTATTTGAGTTTACTTCTGGTCACCAATGTTTGAACCGACCTACCGGTTCATCCAAATCTGCTAGAAGTGTATAACTATCAACGTCACTATGTAAAACTCTTCAAATTCCCATATCATTGGTAAATAGCAGCACTGAAGAGTTGAGCATTTGCGGTAGTTTGCCGATATATGACAAGAATAGTAGGGGATCAACGATTGTTCCTTAGGGCATTGCAATCACCATGGGTTTCCATCCGGACAGTGCCCAATCAGCCGTTATTCTTTGCCTTCTGTTGCACAAGAAGTCACTAAGCCAGGCTTGCAGTGTAGCACTGAACTCGCAAGGGGAGAGCTTTCATAGTAATTTTGCGTGAGAAACCTTGTTGAGTGGTTCATTGAAGTCTGAGAAAAAGTGTCTGTAAGCGGTTTGCAAGCGCCGGCCGCAAACCACTCACCTCCAGCGATAAAGAGATGCATTAAATAAGAATGTCTATCAAGAAAACCAGGTTGCCGCGGGGCCAAAACATAATCTGATTCGATATATTCAGTAACCCAAGTCATTTGAAGGTGGAATCCTACCAAGCGGCCACAGTGACAATCCTTATGCTAACCCAGGGAGAATCGCCTACCAAAAGGGAGAAATCCGTGTGCTTTTACACTTTTGTCTGCGGGGTTGCTGCCACTGGAACGCACTGCGCGCCAAGATTGCTACTGCTCCATCTGTTAACAGCTTAAAGAAAGGTCGAACAGTTATGCAGCGACGCATGATTTGCGCCCATTCAGCCGGGATACGGAATAGGTTGGTACAATCTACTAACTCCGCAATACTCAGCACAGCCAGTCTGAGATACGGATACACTGAAAACGTCAATGACTGACTCGGCAACAGCGTCCACCAGCAAAGATAGCGATCTGGGGTGGAATTAATCAGGATTCAGGGAATTTTCCAAGTTTAGGATAAATGAGTAACCGAAAGACTGTTTCCTTTGCAATGCACACCGTATCCATTGCTGTGGAAGTGATGACATCAGTAATGAGCACTTCACGATCATGATCTAATGAGACTGCACTAAGGTAATTTGATACCTACTGCTAAAGAGAACGTACAGAGAAGGGGGACCAGGTCGGTTGTCAGACTAACAGGCATAACATGCGCGCAACGCTTCAGGCAAATCAACTTGTTCGCATTAAACTATCAAAAGAAACTAGAAGATCTGATAGCAGCCTACAAGATCATTAATCAAGTGGACCACCCAAATAGGTCAACGTGTGTCCGTCCCGATCAGATAATCCCGCAGAAACCCCACCCACATACCCTGACACACGGCAAAGACGACGGTGAGACCAAGCTTCTCACAGAGAGTATGCGCTTTGCGGAACGCTCTGCCGAGGGAAGTAGCCACAGCTACATGAGTCGACTCCAGCAAACGACCACTGGATATTTGAGAGAAAATGGCCTACGAAAAACATTCGCCGGCAGCAACTGATAATATGCTCATCCATCCATGTAATCCAAAAACCTAGTATCTGCCATAAGACGCATCCCTTCTCCATATTATTGCCAGTCGCACAAATCTTTCCATAAGTACTTTTCACTCTTCTCATTCCCTACTCACCCTATCTCTAGCACATTTTAAGTAACGCTTGGTAATCACTTGCAGGTCCTTAAAGAACAGGACTTGCAAGGAGGTTGACTGATCTTATCAACAGTTGTGTTGCTCCCTGCCCCAACCAAACCAAGGTACAATTTGCTAGAAGAAAGCCTAATGGACAATCACTACCTCCGAAGCTAAAAGCAGGAAAAACATAAAGACTTCTACGACCACTGGGGAGTACAACCAAGCGAAAAGAACGGAGCCTCAAGACCTAGGAGTGAGAGCTCAAAAACTACAAGCCTACTCTACTCGTACTATTGATGTTGGCATTATATATATTATATTATATATTATTCTTTCTTTTTTCCCTTTCCTTTTCTATTTTGCCTCTTTCTGCACATATTTTTCATCTCTTTTTCGCTACCAGTCCGACCAGTTGTCTGCTGGCACTACATTTCGGGAACCCATCTGCATCATAGTACTCGGAAGAAGAGGCAAACAAACAAACACTCCTTACAAGTCTAAACAACACCCAACCACCCGTCGGTCTAACCAGAACTAGACGCGAGAGATCAAAAACTACCAGTTTTCTACGCTCGCACTATCAATATTGGATATTGGATATTAGAGAGCTACAGCAGTCGAGTGGGTAGACCTACTGCATTGGAATCCTCTAAATACCTGGAACCGTTCCGCAAGTCCTAAAAGCGAGCGCGAAGAAATCAGTTGGTTTACACTAGCTCGTTAAAAGTTATTGGATATTGGATTCACTTTTGGACAGATTAGAAAGCAGAAGAGAATTCCTTGCCCTCCGCAGAAGCGAACTGAAGAACAACTAGGCCGAAGAACCAGACACGACAAATAAGAACTATTAGTTCCCTATGCTCACACTATTGTTGCAGGACGTTAGATGAAGGTGAAATTGTGTTACTTCGACCTTGAGTAGGTCATGATTTCAAACTTGCTTTTGCACATACTTTTTGAGTGCTAATTTTAGGGGATTGTGAACTAATGAAATGCCGTCGGATGCCTTATTCAGTGCAATTTGTAATTACCTATGCCAGTTATAAATTGATCAATGTTTAGCTCGACGTGATCCATCTAAACGACAAATTAAACCTGTGAATACTGATCACTTAGCGCTTCTAGATGACCTAGATGATGATAGTGACAGCGAGTATGTTTGTGAAGAGAGAGACGAAGATGATGAAGGTTAGTTGATGTTAATCAGAAATGCATATTTCTAAATAATGCATTTTATTCAAGTGGAAAGCGATTCGGTTGGTACTGATGAAGAAGACTCCAATTCAATCGATTCTTCGGTGGATTCGCTATCCACTCATGATTCTGAAACTCATGTTATAAGCCAACATTCGCTATTAAGGTATGAAAGTGACTCACCCAAGACTACGAAAGGTACAGATGAGAAATATCTGTCGGAGTCTGCATGTACTGGTAAATTATCTGACTTCGTGCATGATTTTCACTCATGTACTTAGGGCCTGTGAGTGAACATAATCTCTTGAAAACCGCTGACATAAAATTAAAGGACGTTGATATCATGATTTGCATGCTTTGCCTGGGAGATAGTGTTGATCCTAATGATGAGTTGATCGAGTGTGATGGATGCGGCATTGTTGTTCATGAGGGTAAGCATCAGTCATTCGTTCTTACCTAGTAGATTGCTACAAGGTTGTTGACTCGATATTTTTGTCGAGTGGCGCAAGTTCTTCAAGTACAGATGCTTGGTTCTGTGAGCCATGTCTTGCAGGTTTGACATCCCCGGTTAGTTTCTGCTAGAGCTACTCTTCATTTCTCATTAGATTTGTGAGTTATGTCCAGTGCTAGATGGTGTATTCAAGCGGACGGACAATAACCGTTGGGTTCATTTACTTTGTGCGTTGTACACACCAGGTGTGGCGTTCAACGATCCGGACAATCTAATGGATGTGTGTCCGATTAATTGATTAATCATTTTGTAGGTAACACTTACTGAACTACCACAAAGACAGTGGTCTTTGCACGAATGTTCTCTGTGTGAAGACCGGTTTTTTGCTTGGACTGGTGTGTGTATATCTTGTGATGCTGGCTTGTGTCGCACTTACTTTCATGTAACTTGGTAGGCCTGTTTATCTACATTTATTTACCCTACAGCGCTCAGAAGCATGGATTGCTGTCGGAACCAACCATTGAAGAAGTAAGTTTTTGGTATTTTTTTGGTGGGTAGGTAGGCTTTTCCAGGTGTACAGGTGGCCATTTTTCTGTTCTAGCCATTTGTTTGTATTTTGATTTTGGGACGAAGCAGAGATAAATACTTGTTCGATACCCATAGGATTGTTAGACTATATGTGTCATGCTAAATAGTTCTCTGCTTATTTGGAATGGGAACGTTTCCTCTTTCATGTGTATAAAACAGGATTTCTCTTTTGTGTACAAAATCTGATGGCAGCACAAGTTAAGGTTTAAAGGCAATAGCTGAAGGCGCCAACTTTTTTATCTAGCGGAAGGCAACAAGCTGTTTTAGAACCAATTAGACTGTTACACTCGGTCGGTACACTGCTTGTTTGATAGGCTTACATCTGAAGTCAGTAGTCAGGGTGACTGTCAAATACTTCCCTAGCTTTAGTAACTATGTGATGTTTCAGTTTTCCAAATTGTCAGACTAAGTATGTGAAAGTCAGATGATTATCCGTTTGATTGGTTTCTAGGTACAAGTTTCATAAGGAAAGTGTGCACACCTTCAATGGACACATCTCTAACTTAAACGAATGACATAAGACTGTGCTAGTTTTCTTGTTTAGGATGAATCTAAAACCTAGATGAGAGTATTTCCCACCGCAGTCCCCATGGTGAAGAAGGCTCATTACTTCGGTAATTAATCGTCCTAGGAATTTCTATGTTATTTGAATCATACTAGTGGCACAGTGTCAGTGACGAAACCGTTTACTGAAGTCAGTTTCACAAGTTCCATTGTTAAATTTTGGTACTTCGACTCACTACTACCTATAAAATATCAAGCATCGGCAACTGTGTTGTGTGCAAGAAGATTTGTAAGGCTATAAAAACGTATTGGGGTGCTTTAGAATCCCTGAGAGCTCTCTTATCCAAGGGATTTTTGTCTGTGTTAACTATTCTATTGGTAGGCAAACTGCAGGAATTTATGAATAGTTGACATTGATGAAGTTTGTTAACTGATGGTCCAGAATGATATGTATTTGTATGTCTTCTAATCGGTTGCCTTCATTAACATAAATCACTCTCGTGTCATATACGAATCCGGTTATCTATAGTTTCAATACGTGTTAAAAACTCCTTCCTGATATGAATTCGTTTTTCTATATGGGCAGGTGTACTTCATGTGTTTCCCTCCTTGTTTACTTTCAGAGTTCAGCTGACCCATTTTTTGCACATTGTCGTCAGCATACTGACAAAACAGTCGCCCGACATCGTCGCCGTAATTTCTTGACTGCAGTGCTTAGGTTAAGAAAGTGGCGATCAAATAAGCAGTTCACCCTAGACTGTTTGGAGGAAAAAAAACTATCACATGTCTCTGTTTTGAGTAAAGCGTCGCCAGTGGACCCTCGTATTCAGCGAAAACTGGAACATTACCGCGAATTGTACAAAGACCTTTTGAAACATCGTGGTAAACCTTACGGTATGTTTTCATATGCTGTGAACCTCTATATCATTTGGTTACTGCTTTTTCTCCTCTATGTAAGGACAATTTTCTACTGTTTTGAAAAGTAGTACTGTAAGTATGGCCTTTTAGGTAATAAATTATTGTCCGTTTTTGTACATTCTTGAGAAATAGCATTGTTGAAAATATTTTTAGTATAGTGTCTCTTATTTTGCATGCAGTTTTATTGCGATGTCGATGCACCCACGGTCTGCATCAAATCAAGAATAAGTCAACAGTGTGGCCCAAGCATTTGTCAGCTAATGTCTAATGTGTATCTAACTGAATCTCATTTAGAATATTTGGTTTCTTGAGAAAATTAGTGAGGAACCCGCTGAAAAGCTTTATCCATCCATCCAGATCAACCTAGGACCAGGCATTACTGCGTAACAGTCCGAGTTGCCACACCTCATATCACTACACCAAGTAAAAAGGCAGTGAAGCGCAAGAGGAAGATAAGAGAATGCAGTCAAAAGAAATATAAAGTACGAAAAGAGAGAAACAAAGAATGAGAAAGTGGTGAGATTCGGTATAGCCTCGTTAAGATGAGAATGATGTATGTGGGGATATGTCTGAGCCACTGACATCGGTTCTGAGCCATATCACCTAGTCTCCAACCACTGGTTCCTCTTGTCCCACCGACCCCAACCACCTAGTCTGCATCGCCCCACATGGCTCAAACCAACAGTCAGAGACTTCATACATTGACGCAATGTTTTAGTCTGGCCACCTCGGGCCTTTTTCTACCCTGGACCTACTTCGGCCAACATTGTGTGACGAGACAATCGGCGACTAGACCTCTCAGTCGATTGAGGTTCACAACCTCATCAACTGACTTACCTCTTCTCCCTAAAACTACTCCTGATTTCTACGTTACTCACGTGGTGACACCACGGAATACGGCCTATACTACGAAGGCAACAGTGGTCAAACACCTGAAGCCTTTTTATACCTTCCACTTTCAATGGCCATGTTTCACAGCCATACAGTAGAACAGATCAAACTGCTGTGCAGTATACGCCACCCTTAGTAGACAACCACCGTGGCGCCGCATGTAGCGTAAGTTGGCGAAAGCTAATCGAGCCTTTTGTATTCGTGCAGAGATTTCACCGGTCACTGAGCCATCATGGCTGATCCTACTTCCCAGGTAAGTGAAGTGGTCAACACACTCAACCACTTCACTCTCTATTGTTAGCCGTGGCACTGTTGAAGACCAATCCTGGAGCAGCAATTTGAATGAAACGAACCTTAGCAAAGATATCCTTTTAAGTAAATTTTCATCAGGTTCTAAAATTGTAAAGTTGGATTGTGCAACATGAAACATGCCAAGTTTGAGGCGAATACATTTGCAAAGTGGAATATGAGTTAGGGACTTTTAGGAAATAGATTTTCTCTAGAAATTTTCACTTTCAGATTGATATCTATCCAAATGGAAAGGACGAAAAATAAAGAAGATGGGAGTAGCCTTCAGTTAATCAAACATGTTCTTCCTGAATGACTTGCAGTAGTTTATATTTTTGTGCTATCCTTTCAGCAGAATGTAATTTGAAAAGTAACCATGCATTTTTACCGCATGAGTTATACTACTACTGAGTAGCTTAAATTCGCTGTTTTGAAGTCGAAAAAAATCAAAATCCACTTGGCAACCTTGTGCACGTTCGTGCAGTAGACAATGAGCCACCTATTGTATGAGGACTAGTGATACTACTTGATTGCCTAGATTTCGGTAGGTGGAGTAGGTTTCGGACTTGTGGCCTGTCGGTTGAGATTTGAGTGCCTAGATGAATGAGCCACAGCTTACGAATTTATAATCCACTTTTAACTCGATATTCGAATTCTTGTACAATAGATTAGGATATTTTGTATCCTCTGTATGTTTTGTTTATGAAAATTAAAGCGGTGGAGTCATTTTCTAACAAAATAAGGTTTTATTTTGGAGTTATTTTTGTATGAAGGTGGCTGAGTAGGATTTCAAAGGAAATTTAGCAGGGTTTGAAAGGATTAGGTCTAAGGACTTCACTTCCAACCACTTAGATACCACCTTGCAGCATTAAGTATGCAATGCTTATGGGTAGCATCTTGAAACTCGCACCTCTGAAAATATATCCCTATTACTATGTAGCTAAATAATAATATCCATTGATTTTCAATTGGTCATTTATATATCATCTAAAGTAATTATTGTGTGTCTTGTATTTTCTTATTAAAATATTTCAACCCCTTAGTGTGAATAAGGAAACTAATATCTTATTTCTTGTTTTGACTTAGGCTCGCATATATCATGAGTTTGATTTTTATACCCCGATCACCGTAGTGTTGGCTTATTATTAGTTCTTCTAGTAATATGGCTAAAAACAAAGAATTTGAAAAGTATCAGTCTTCGAATGATATGTGTTACTCTTTTACTGACGATTTCGCCATCAAAGAAAAGGGTTAAGCGGACTAGTCAGATTCATTCCGTACGAATTAACGTACACTATCTAGAATGCCTTTAAAAAGGACATCATTGAAGTATGTTAGCAGAAGTCGGAGTTTCAGGTGCGTTATTTGGTATTCACTACAGTTCGTTCCTAGCTTCTTGCGTTAATGTTGATATCGTTTTCTTATTTGGATTATCCAAAATTTCTGATTATTTTTAGTACCTCTTGTGAAAACACCCTTATTTCTGGAAACTTCCCCTGTGGCTATGAGAATGTTTGTATCCAAGGCTAGAGCTCTTAATTTACCAATTGAGTTGCCGAACCACATGTCTAATGTGGATTCAACGAAAGGCCCAACACCTAGCTACCCGGTTTTCACACCCGACTTTGTATCCTATTTTTTAGGTAAGTTTTTCGTGCAGTTATCGTTTGGGTTATGTACATACTCGATGATCTGTCAATATATATTCTCTTCGCATGTTGCTGAAGTACTTAACCTCTTTCTTTACGCATTTAGAGCGTGAAAGAAAAATTACGGAGGTTTCAAAGCGCATTTCCACTTTACAAAATACGCAGAGAGAACTACAGATATCAGATGCTAGTGCTTCACACAGTTACAATTCGGTAAGCTAAGGACTGTGTAATCTAATTATACCTCCCATATACTGACTTCAGACAACTTTATTTTATTCTTTTGAATTTTTATCTGCAGGTTACAACGGAGCTGGAAAATATAATCACTCGGCGTGGAAAGCTGTATGTGAAATTTTCTAACATAATAAACACTCTACGTAGTCTCATTCCGGTTAGTTTCAGATTCTAATTTTTCCTCATGTTGTAATTTTGCTTGGGTTCCAATCAAGTTTTGGCTGTTTCAATTGATCATAGACGGGAAGTTTTCTAATTTTATGCTGTGATTTTTGAACGTAGGCATCAATATTTAGGTAAGATCCGAAGACTTTCAACACTGAAAGTATTGCTCAAAACTCTTGCTATTCTTCAAGCGAATAGCCATAAATTCAAGGGTTAAATATTACTCATCTCACGCTAAAGATTGTCAATTTCTGTAGGTGGATTAGTTGGTGTACAGACAGACGAATCAACAAAATTAATGTAGGACCTCTCACAGAAGCTCAAGTCACCACACTTCCCAATAGCATAGAAAGAACAAACAGACCGAAAATTACTTAGATCAAAGTAGAAAAATGTATATGGGAGAAAGAGAAACTTGAAAACGAAGGTTAGCGAAAATGCTCAAGTTTTAGAAGACGTTTATGTGTGAAAATATCTGTACCACTGTAACCGCTTCTCATCTATTTCTCTAAGACTCTCTAACTGTTGATTCCTGTGGTCTCGGCGACCCCTGCCACCTAGTTTAGACGTCTCCACACATTTCAGAACAACAGTTGGTGTGCACTTCTTATACTCATGAAATTAAGTTCAAAATTATCGTTCGTATTTACATTACGTGGTTCGCATTAGGTTCCTTGAGTAGTCTATTTGTCGAATGGACATAAGTTACGACAAATATATTTTCTACTGTTTTCTCACCTGTGCACAACTAGAAAAATAAGTGACCGGTAATTTTGGAGAAGTAAGTATGTTTCCCACGTAAATTACTGATTTTTCTTTTGCAGTTTCGAATCCAAAGCACCAAAAGATGATCAATAAATGCTTAAATATGGTACTTAAGATCCATATGCCATGTATATTTCTGCATACTATCATTTCTAATCTTTTGGCGTGCCTTTTTATCGTCATTAGTGCTACGCGTTTCATCTCAGTGAATTACGTTTTCACGAACCGCTTTTAAAGGTGTATCACTTCAGAATTATTATTGTCTGAAATAATCAGCAAAATTATTTTGAGACATTTGTAGGTATTGCATTTACTGTGTTCCAAGAAGGCTCTAGAGTTAAAATATTTTACCGTATTTAATCAGTTTTCATTTCTCGTTGACTGTATTTTCCTCATCTCTAAAGGAATTAAAGTGCTCATCTGAATTAGAAGTTGTGTTATCGGATTCTAAGGATTCCATGGAGACTGCTGCCTTTGACCTTACTTCTTCTAAACTTCTAGACTCCAGTAAGACTGTCAAATTCGGATCTTCTGCAGTTATCTCAGCTTCAAAGCGTAAATGCCGTCCTTTATCACCACCCTCTAAGATACGAAAATTCTCAAAATCAGATGCAGGTAATCAAAACAACAATGCATCGAAAGATGCAACTGCTTCTCACCTTGATAAATGTCAAAGCAGTGTTACATTTGAACCAGAAAACGTAATATTAGAGTAAGTTTTTGCATTACCTGCCCATTTCTTTGCATTTTTCAAGTTTTAACCTCATTACAGAGAAAAACTTAAGTAAATATGTGTTTTTACGGTAGGTATCAAACCATAACTGTTGTGTAAGGACTGAAGAAAACGACTCCACCCCCGTGAGTCATAGATAATGATTCTTCAGTTTTTCCTGTAAACGAGGAAGATGTTTCACATCTGGAACAGAACAGAAAATCAAAACCTGAGTGGGTTTTCTAAGGTGAAAATAAAAGGTCACTAGTTACAGCGAGTGAAGTACAAGCTAGTGTATCAAAATCAGAACCGGTTCTGTCAAATTGGTCTACATTACTTATCACGCCAGTCTATGAGAAGGGCGAGAAGTCTTCTCGTGACAAACACAGGTAGGTCAATTTGACTGAAATCGTGTTCAGGATCCTAGGATCCATAGTTATGCGACGCCGAATTAAAGCACGAGGAAACCAGGCTGGTTTCACACCTGGACGAGGATATATATATGTAACATATATACGGAGGAGTAATCATGCCGTACGATCGAGCTTGGAAGTAAGTTTAACTAGATGGTTTCAAAAAAGGTTGGAGTGTAAAATTTCACAGACTTAATGTCCAAACAGCTTTCGAAGTTTACCATACAAATAGTCAGAGATGCATACTGAGATTTACAGAAACGTATTCCATACGCAAGTTCCAACCACCTTATTGTGTACAAAAACAACTGCTAACGCTACATCTACCTTCGTAAGCTTTGTATAGTTTTTTGTCTTAATTTTAATCCCCTTTGATTTCAATTACTCTATTTAGTAATGATGGATAGTGGCTAGCAGTGGAATCTAGGATGCGCGTTTTGTCTTATTTGAGACTCGTCATCTGGATGTACGTGCCTCCCAGTGAGTGATGTTGTTCACACCAGGATTCGGACTCGAAAGCGACGGCTTCAAACGCGAGAGCGTTATCCACTACACCGCCAAGCCACGATAGCCACTTCTTGTACGACGGGTATAGCTTTTTAGTGTTGTTGCTTGTATTACACCGTCGTTGATTGGACCGAATTGATCAGTCTGTGTTGGCATATGGGCTCCTATGTGGATGCCTCGATATTGCCTGTGTTCTTAACTATATAGTAATGATGGATGGTGGCTAGCAGTGGAATCCAGGATGCGCATTTTGTCCCATTTGGGACTCGTCAGCTGGATGTTCTTTTCTTCGGTTCTACATAAATTGACTTGACAAGTAAATGCGTGATCAGATTGTTCGAAATGTATTGGGCGAACAAATCATGTTATTCAGATAAATTTCTAGTGAAACTATCCAAATTTTAAGAGAGCCGAAATGGATGCTTGTAAATAGAAGCCAAGTGATTTTCTCATAATCGATGACAAAACGTTAGATGTACGCACAGTTTATTCTTATTCTAATGTTTAGTTATTCTCTACATCTTATTCTCTTCTTTCTATAGCTTTCTGTGATGTCTTGTAGCATTATTATTTGCGTATCTTTTCCCCCGTTACCTACTATCTCACATGTTGATGTGAATTGTGGCGACTTAGATCGCTACACAGCGGTTTTAGGCTGATACTATTTGACTGATACTAGCGAGTTTGTTTAGGAAATATTATTTCTCCAGTATCTTATAGTGGCCACTGACAAACTTTAATAGTGAACTATGGTTTAACCGAATTCAAGCAGTATGTTGTATTTTAGTATGCTCATCGTGCTTCAACAAAACTTGTACAACGGGTTCATCGAGAGAAATCACTTGTCAATTCAAAAAATGAACAGCATCTGGTCATAGTTCGAAGGATGAGAACTAGAGGAATTAAGTCAGATATCTTCTGCAGAAGCCAGTACGAAAGAAATATTGATTAAATTTAACACACCAGGAAGTCTCAAAGTCTTGATGAGGTGTGATTATATGATGCACCTCAGCAGCAGCTGTCTTTGCTAAGTTTCTGCTAGCTATTTAGTGCATGCATAGCTTACAAATGAATTATTTCCTTTTGTATACCGAATAGAATTCTGACAAAGCATTCATACTGCTGTGACAGCTGAATACATCATGGTTATCCTGTTGCTGAACCCCTTATTAAATACTACCTTAACTGACATGGCACTTTTATAAGCACGCGTATTTATGCACTTACTATGTTATGGCTAAGGTTATCTGAGTTTTTGAGATTGTTTGATTCACTCACCTATCTGAGTTTTTGCCTTATGTGAGACTACAATTTTGTAATTTTGATTCCTGTTCTTCATCCGCTGGTCTAAAAGTTCAATTTCCTGTTATTACTTATCCTAGTCATACTGTAAAATTCCATATCATGAAAACGCTACAAAAGGAGTTACATAAAAATTTATGAAAAAGGATCTTTACTTGCTAGTTTACTCACTGTTTATTTAAACGATATAGCAGTCACAGAATTTCCACTGTTCGTTTCGTTTTTTAACCAAATGTGGACCATCTTTCAAGCTACTGAGCCGCATAATCTACAAGATCCGATTAAGGGCAGTTGTGAAACAACTATTCACACCAGTAACTTCCTTTACTTTCGCAACTCCTTGCTTTTAACCAGTAACACTTAATCCATATTAGATTTGTTTATTTGATTTATAACACACAGTGATGTAGTATTATTTACTTGATGACATTTCGAGTATAAATTATTATCGTACCAAATTGATGTGATTATGAGCAATAATTCATGCTCGAAACGTCATGAAGTAAATAACACTATATCACTGTGCGTTATAAATCAAATAAACAAATCTAATATGGAATTAAATTCTATCGCAGTGCACAAGTTTTACACCTATATATTGTGGACTAAATCCAGAAGTTGGTAACTACTGCTCATCACAAAAGGCGGTTGAAGTTTGTTTTCTTCAAAACCAGTGTTGGGTAATGTGTACTTATCAAACAGTATTTAATTATACTGTCAAATAGTTTTTAGTTAATAATAATCTTTAGTATTGTTTTTTTTGTACTTGCTGCTTTACGGAGATTGTAGAGACCACAATCGGAGATTTTTCAAATCTTTTCAGCTAGAAACAACTAGATCTATGATAGAAATTAGGATATCAAGCATTAAAGCTTTGTTCCTTTGTAACTTTGCAGCGGTGATATAAGTGATACAGATCTGTGAATATCACTGCTCACTATGCAGACAAGATCTCATATGATAATTTTCGAACTTTTGTAACCAGCAGGATCCAAAAATTTCATCTCTTCGCTCTAAATAGTTTCTGCTGATGGGAAGTACGAGTGTAAGCTTCTGTCAGTTTGCTAAAGCAAAGCCTATATTGTGATAATAAACACTGCCAACGTTATAAGTTCTGTGAGATGTATTTTCATCTTAAAAGTAGTACGGTAAATTTCGTGCCAAACTCGAATTTTATCATTTTTGGGAAAGGTAATCTGCCTTACCTAGGTTGTTTTTCTGAGCCATTTTGAGCACAAGAGTAAAGTAACCTATGTTCTTTCCTAATAAAACTCTTTAGGCAGATAAAATTTCTTTCCTTAGGATAAAGTCAGATCTGTACATTGAGTTATCTTCTGAGCTGGTGTTTTAGTTAGCAAACGTATCAGTTTGATGCAAGACATCGTCGTCAGTGCACTAAAGGACAGATCAATTTGACGTTGTAATTCCCCACCATTTGTCTGTTAGATTTACTGTAGTCTTATTTAAGAAACGCATGTCTTTTTATCTTTTTGACTTAATTCACAATCTTTGAGTCTGTACTTCATCAGCGATACTTTTGTCCGGTGGTCTGATTGTTGTTCATTTGTGAGGTATAGCGTCTTCAAAGACAATTCTGGAACTGAAAAACTAGATCATTTGCACTGCTTGTATTAAAATCCAATCAACTCGCTAGTGAAGTATTTTTTTAACTTCAGCACGATCAACACTAAGTGTTGTTGATGAAAACTTTTCTAATTTCTTAGTAATCCTTTATTTTGGTACTGATTCGTATAGTAATGCTCAGCGTTTTGAAGATCTATTATTCTAAAGTTAGTGGTATATATTTAATTTTGATAGCTACCATGTGTTGGTGCATTCTTGATTAACTATTTGCACAAAACATTCCTCATCCATTTTATTGTGATATTTTTCAACCGAGTGAAATAGTTATTAATTTTGCTTCACGCTTGTCACCTAAGTATAACATTTACAGGAAAGATGACTTCTCGGATGGAGGGTTGTCTACCTTTGTTCGACATATAGAAGCATCTGACATCCAAGTGGTTTACGAATACTTGTATTTCAGAATGTGTATGTCCAGACTGAATACTTTCCTAGGCTGACACTTAAGTGAGGAAACATTTCGAAGTCATTATAAATATTGTCGTCAGTACCATCTCACAAGGAAGGGAAGCAACTTGATTGGTTAGTTGGATTTCTGCAGCCGTATCACTCATTAGATTCACACTGTCATATATAGTAATAAATCCGTATAGTAATGCTATTTAGCCTGTTTGTGCATACCGTTTGACTGTTGTGGCGAATGTTCTGTTTCTCGAGGTCATTTATCACATGTATAACAACATACAATAGTACACCAAGAAATGGAAATTGAAGTTACTCCCTTGGTTGACTTACAAACGTTTTTTCAAACACTACATAAACCAGAAAATACTTATGCAACTTTCGTGTTGTAAACCAGCATATGGCATTTTGTTTTATTATTATTATTATTACTATGATTATTATTATCGTTATTATTAAATAGGTGCACAGTATGTCATGGACTTCAGGATCAACACTTGATCACAAGCTGTGATACATGTGGGAAAGCTTTTCATTTGGCTTGTCTTGATCCTCCATTAATACGTATGCCGAAGCGCAGTAAACTTTATGGCTGGTAAGTGCATCGTATTTACTTTAAGTCAAGTTGGTCTATTTTTGTCCCTACTTTTCGAACATTGTTGAATAACTTCTCATCCTGATATGTTATTGTCTACTTATCATGTTTAGTAGGTTTTTTTGTCGTTTTCACAGAAAGCCCATCTAGGCTGTTCATAATTCACAGTAACTTGTAAAAAGTGTTTAAGAAGTAGCTAGCGTTAATGTTCTAGTTTGGTCTGAGATAATGCCAGTCAGTAGGCTATAAATAATTTGAATAAGATTTTCGTTGTCTATCTTCACTAGTATTTCGTTTAGGTCTGCGAGTGACATTTATGGTTTATCGAGTACTGTTGTATCTGAACAATTCATTTTTAGGCAGTGTTCGTTTTGCACTAAAGAAGTATCTTTAGTCCCAGGAGTTGACAAAATCGATTTGAATGCCCCGCGTCAACTCCGTCGCTCCAGTGGTATAGCACCTGGCAGAACGACTTGCGTCAAACAAGATGTGAAGGCAAATAATTCAAATACCTCGGCTGACTGCAAACCAAATATTGACTCAACCTGTCAAATCTCTGAAAATATACCAACGAAATCTGATGAGAATAAGTCATGCGATACAGGTAAATCTTCTACCCCACAAACACTCCATAGAAGTCGATCGTCTACTGGTTCAAGGTTTTCTCGCCTGTCTAATTTTACTACTTCATTTGGTGAAAACATGCGACGGAAATCCACTGGCGCATTGAAGACGATGTCAAGCTCATCCTCAAGGCGTTTATCCTCAGTTGCGACTCGGAAAACACGAAGACGCGTAAGTATCAGCAGTAAAAATTTCAAAATATTTACCAATATTCGGTTCTTTCGGCAGGATTTTTAAGAAATATGTTTTCAATGTAATAAATAAGATTTTCTTGACTGTCTGCTTGCGTTGCTACAATTATAATCTTCGTTACATATCGGTGAACGGATCGTAGAAAGTTGTAGATCACAATTTTCTAGTGCTCTTTATTTCATGTGAAATAATTAAGATGAAATACGTTTCTTGCTACTCATTTCAACATAGATTTTTAGTTCTGTACATTTTCTGAGCAGTATTTGTTAAATGAAACATTCATTGCAAAACGGTCACTTGAGGTTGATATTTTTTATCATTTACCCAGATAAGTATGTTAAAGCTAATCTGTGGGACCTCAAACTGAAAAAGTAAAGGAGCGAAATTTAGTTTAATGATAACTGATATTCATAGGGTGTTTTTGCTTGACATGAACATCTCAGTCAACAAATCGAATGTAAAAATTTGAAATACTAGAAAGTCCTGACAGGTTAAAATTGTTGAAGAGGTTCAGTTACATGATTATTGTAGAGCTGTGACTCATTGGTTTAGGCAGTTGACTTTCAACCAGACGCGCATCATAAAATTTGTGTGTATCGCTAAGACATTCGTGCAATTATTCGTGCTTAATATAATATATAACTAGCTATCAAAATCACTAAAATATAACTTGAAACATCTGTCTAAAAAAATAATCAGTGCGAATACGTAATCATTCGAAGAAGAACTTCAGTTGATCATGGTATAAAAATATCTTCCTTAGTGGTAAGTACTTAGATCGATACTCAGGACACTTAAAACATGCCCAGATACTAGCTAATTACTCTTGCATTTTTGAAGGTTGCCTCTCAGTCAACTCTCCAACAAGACTTAGAAGTCAACATCGATTCAAAGATGACTACCAGCCCTTCAGTTGTAATGACCCAAGTCTGCAGTGCTGATTTTGATCAGGTAAATATTTCTTTTTAATGTTATTGCTTGTATTACACCGTCGTTGATTGGACCGAATTGTTCAGTCTCTGTTGGCATATGGGCTCCTATGTGGATGCCTCGATATGGCCTGTCTTTTAACTATGTTTAGTAATGATGGATAGTGGCTAGCAGTGGAATCCAGGATGCTCATTTCGTCCTGCCCATCATTACTAAATATTTCTTTGTTTAAAAAGCATAAATATCGTTCATTATCCTGTTTTCTATGGTTTCTGATCATTAAAATACACTAACCAGGCATCAGAATTCTTCACTGATGCTTCAAACTCATATCGGGATCTGTCTGTGTGTAGGACGAATCATAAATCACACTGTTGTCGCATAATACCAAGATTTCGAATCAAAGAGGCTCAGTTAAACTATGCGCTATGCATACTACTTTCATATACGTGTACTCAGCTTCTATTTTTCCATTTTGTCCACACACACACATACACCTTTACTATTTAGAGAAAAGGGGTGACGGATTAGTCAAATGTGTAGGTAACAGTAATCATTTTATTCAAAGTAAATGGAGTATTTTTTTTGATGTAATGACTTGCAAATCTCCGTCGTTGATTGGATCGACTTGGTCTGTCACTAGCTGCATATCCCAACCGATAGCTGCTACCTTGACGTGGTGGTCGAGCCTGCATATCACAATGGCCCAACGAGCTATGCTGGTGAAACGCTTGTTCCCTCGAGGTCCTACCATACCAGAAAGGTCTGTTGGATAGTGGTTAGACGAAAGCATTTACCATTGTGGTGTAAATTACTACACCATGATGAAGGTATGGGGGCGAAGTCGTACTGCTGCTAGCTGGATGGGGTGTGACAACAGTAAGGTGTTTCCCTTGGATAACCGGCAGTGTCACTGATGCTCCTTTCTCAGTGGAAGGGGGGGGGGTTAGAAAAGGTCGGCCCCGAAAATAACACACTCCACCATGCCCACTGGATCCTAGTTGATAGTCGCCTCTGCGCTGTCCGGCTGAACGGCACGGTGAGAACTAAAAGGAATAGTGAGACTCGCCTTTGTCTCTTTGTAATTTTTGCTTACGCACCCACTAACTGCAGTTCGGATGAAGTGAAGGACGAGATCTATTGAAAACTGTCTGGCCTCCTTTCGGGAACCAAACGTTCAGATGTGGTGGTTATTGCAGGTGACTTCAACGCACAGGTGGGTAGACTGAGTGAGGCAGAAAGGAACTTGGGTGGCACTTTCGGAGTCCCGGCTGAACGGACAGATAACGGTGATCGCCTATTACAACTGTGCTCATCATCATCATCATTATCAACATAGGACCAGGCATTATTGCGTAACGGTCCGAGTTGCCACACCTCATATCATAACATCAACTAGAAACGCAGTGAAGTGGGAGACGAAGAAAAGAAAATCCAGTCAAAAGAAATATAAAGTAATACAGGGAAGAAAGAGAGAATGAGAAAATGGTGAGATTCAGTATAGCGTCGTAAACATGAGGATAATGTGTGTATACATCTGCGCCACTGACTTCGGTTCTGAGCCATATCACCTAGGGTCTCCAACCACTGGTTCCTCTTGTCCCGTGGACCCCAACCACCTAATCTGCATCGTCCTACATGGCTTAAACCAACGGTCAGAGACTTCATACATTGGTGCCATGTTTTAGTCTGGCCGCCACCCTTTTCAAACCTGAACCTACTTCGGTCAACATTGTGTGACGGGGCAATCGGTGACTAGGCATACGTAGTACGTGTCCAAACCATCTCAGTCGATGAAGGTTCACAACCTCGTCAACTGACTTACCTCTTCTCCCCAAAACTCTACACCTAACTTCTGCATTACTCACATGGTGACACCACGGAATACGTCCTATACTACGAAGGCAACGGTGGTCAAACACCTGAAGCCTTATCATGTCTCCCACTTTCAATGGCCATGTTTCACAGCCATATAGTAGAACAGAGCGGACTGCTGTGCAGTACACGTGACCCTTAATAGACAAACGAATATCACGGCGGCGCCATAGGTGGCGCAAATTGGCAAAAGCCAATCGAGCCTTTTGTATCCGTGCAGAAATCTCATCGGTAACTAACCCACCAGGGTTGATCCTACTTCCCAGGTAAGTGAAGTGGTCAACACACTCAACCACTTCACTCTCTATTGTTAACCGCGGTACCGCTGAAGACCAGTCCTAGAGCAAAAATTTGCATTTGGGTGGTGAAAATCGCATCCCAAACATTCTCAAATTCCCACTCAAAGTGTTCAGAAGACTCTGCATCTTGTCACCGCCTTCACCTAACAGGACTATGTCATCTGCATATTCTAGATCTAGAGAAAATTCACCTGTGATTGGGTCAACGTCTGTGTAATTAGGTGACGAGAGGGAAACCTCCATAAGAATATCTATGATAAAATTAAATAAGAATGGGGATAGTGGGCATCCTTGACGGACACCACTTGATGAGTATAGCTCCCTGGACAACTCGCCATAGGCTCTAACACACCCACAAGTGTTCGAGTAGAGAGCTTTCAATAAGGTGATGTACTTACTAGGCACGCCTTTCAGTGACAGACATTGCCATAAGACTTCTCGATCAACGGAGTCAAATGCCGCCTTCAGGTCGAGAAATACAGCTATTGTCGGGCGTCTGTAAGCATGCCTATGTTCCAGGACCTGGCGCAGTGTGAATATTTGGTCGATACATCCACGGCCAGGTCTAAAGCCTGCCTGGTTTTCTCGGGCTTGCTGTTCCCGAGCTCCACTCAGGCGTCGGAGAATTATAGAACTTAGGATCTTAGACACTATGTTCGTCAGGCTGATTCCTCTGTGGTTATCACAAGAGGACTTCTCGCCTTTCTTGAAGACTGGGATGATGAGTGACTTAGACCAGTCGGAGGGGATCGTATTTGATTCCCATATACTGGCTAACACTTCCGTTAACCTGACGACTGTGCTCAGATAATCGCCTATTGTGAATGAGCGCAAATTTCAGATATAAGAAAGGACACTGTCTGACATGGCATCCACCGAGCTCAACCTAGCAGTGGACACAGATAAACCACATCGCTATTAGTCATCACTGCAGGGGATTGGTGGAAGACTGCCGCTCCTTCAGGAGTACATGCTTGGATAACGACCACGTGTTGGTCCGAGCACGTATATGCCTGCATCTCAATGAACTTCAGAAAAATTTGGTAACAACCATTATGAGTGCAGCTTGACAACGAAAACACCGGAGCCGCTTTCAGTGAGAAGTTGACTAGGCAGTTATTGAGGCAGAACACTATCACTCATCCAGAAGAAGCTTAATGCCACCTCTAGTCTGCTGTAAAAGCAGCGCTGAAGACTGTAGCGGACTCCGAAATAGTGGCTAAAAAGAGCCAGTGGATATCAGCAGCTTCTTCTGAACTAATGGATGCACGTGAACATATTCCTGCAGGCTGTGAGTACAATGAAGAGCAAGCATAACTTAAAAGTAGGTTGAGAAAAAGTCTACGCGACGACCGCGAACAGTGGTGGGCAGAAAAGTCTAGAGAGATGGAAAAGGGGGGTGGGGGCGACTGTTAACAGTAGACAGTTATTTAGACTTATTAAGGAGACTGGGGGGGGAGGTCAACTGCGGTTAGTGAGCCTATAGCGGAGAAGGATGGATCTTTGATTCACTCGCAGAGAAGACGACTGGAACGATGGGCAGAACACTTTGAAAAACTGTTTAACTGGCCTCCAGCCACGATTGCGTTGCACGCTATCCAGTCGGATCCTGAATAGAACATTGAGATATGCCCCCAAAACTTGCAGAGGTCGATAAAGCTGTAGGTAACTTGAAATGAGAAAGGACGGCAGGACCAGACGGACTGACTCCTGAGGTATACAAGGAAGGTGGTAGAGAACTCTTAGTCAGGTTAACGGAAGTGTTAGCCAGTATATGGGAATCAAATACGATCCCCTCCGACTGGTCTAACTCACTGATTATCCCAGTCTTCAAGAAAGGCTAGAAGTCCTCTTGTGATAACCACAGAGGAATCAGCCTGACGAACATAGTGTCTGAGATCCTAGGCTCTATAATTCTCCGACGCCTGAGTGGAGCTCGGGAACAGCAAGCCCGAGAAAACCAGGCAGGCTTTAGACCTGGCCGTGGATGTATCGACCAAATATTCACACTGCGCCAGGTCCTGGAACATAGGCATGCTTACAGACGCCCGACAATAGCTGTATTTCTCGACCTGAAGGCGGCATTTGACTCCGTTGATCGAGAAGTCTTATGGCAATGTCTGTCACTGAAAGGCGTGCCTAGTAAGTACATCACCTTATTGAAAGCTCTCTACTCGAACACTTGTGGGCATGTTAGAGCCTATGGCGAGTTGTCCAGGGAGCTATACTCATCAAGTGGTGTCCGTCAAGGATGCCCACTATCCCCATTCTTATTTAATTTTATCATAGATATTCTTATGGAGGTTTCCCTCTCGTCACCTAATTACACAGACGTTGACCCAATCACAGGTGAATTTTCCTTAGATCTAGAATATGCAGATGACATAGTCCTGTTAGGTGAAGACGCTGACAAGATGCAGAGTCTTCTGAACACTTTGAGTGGGAATTTGAGAATGTTTGGGATGCGATTTTCACCACCCAAATGCAAATTTTTGCTCCAGGACTGGTCTTCAGCGGTACCGCGGTTAACAATAGAGAGTGAAGTGGTTGAGTGTGTTGACCACTTCACTTACCTGGGAAGTAGGATCAACCCTGGTGGGTTAGTTGCCGATGAGATTTCTGCACGGATACAAAAGGCTCGATTGGCTTTTGCCAATTTGCGCCACCTATGGCGCCGCCGTGATATTCGTTTGTCTATTAAGGGTCGCGTGTACTGCACAGCAGTCCGCTCTGTTCTACTATATGGCTGTGAAACATGGCCATTGAAGGTGGGAGACATGATAAGGCTTCAGGTGTTTGACCACCGTTGCCTTCGTAGTATAGGACGTATTCCGTGGTGTCACCATGTGAGTAATGCAGAAGTTAGGTGTAGAGTTTTGGGGAGAAGAGGTAAGTCAGTTGACGAGGTTGTGAACCTTCATCGACTGAGATGGTTTGGACACGTACTACGTATGCCTAGTCACCGATTGCCCCGTCACACAATGTTGACCGAAGTAGGTTCAGGTTTGAAAAGGGTGGCGGCCAGACTAAAACATGGCACCAATGTATGAAGTCTCTGACCGTTGGTTTAAGCCATGTAGGACGATGCAGATTAGGTGGTTGGGGTCCACGGGACAAGAGGAACCAGTGGTTGGAGACCCTAGGTGATATGGCTCAGAACCGAAGTCAGTGGCGCAGATGTATACACACATTATCCTCATGTTTACGACGCTATACTGAATCTCACCATTTTCTCATTCTCTCTTTCTTCCCTGTATTACTTTATATTTCTTTTGACTGGATTTTCTTTTCTTCGTCTCCCACTTCACTGCGTTTCTAGTTGATGTTATGATATGAGGTGTGGCAACTCGGACCGTTACGCAGTAATGCTTAGTTCTAGGTTGATTCGGATCGATGGACTTTCGGCGTATGGGCTCCTGTGTAGAGGCCTCAATATTAATATCAAAATTGAGAATACCTACAATTTCGAATTGTCTGAAATGGAACTAATTTGCCAGTGGTGGCCGACCAATTTAGTTCAGCCAACCTATAAAGTCAAAATCTATGCTATACCGGTCGCACAATGAACAGCTATCGTGACTCAGTGGTCTAGTGGATAATTCTCTGTCACCTGAAGCAATCGGTCTTGGCTTTGAGTTCTAGTAGGGACAATACTCCGTTGGGGACGGGTACACCAAGCTGAAGAGTCCGAAATAGGAAGAAATGCGTCCTAGATTCCATCACCAGCCTTTATTCATCATTAGTATCATAAACGCAGTGTTTTCAATTCAGTCACTTGAACTGTCTTTCTTCATACAACTTATTTTAAGTAGTAAAAGTTCCTACGGGCTTTTTAATCATGTGAACTGAATTGAAAGTCTTGGACAGAAGCAGTTTTCAACAATTGATGAATATTGTGGCGTTTCATGGCACTTTTATCAAACGTCTTATAGAGAAACTTATTAGGGGAGTTAGAGGTCTCCATGTAATGGCCCGGGTTTAATATCACTTATATTAGTGAATTCACTTTTTAACGAATCGTAGCTAAAAAGTATCAGTAATTATTTTACAGAGAGTGCAATTACTTTTCAGTCATAGCTATTTTTCACATACATTTCATGCTTAATCACAACTCTCTAACAGCTTATTCTGCATATCAATGCCATTTAGACTCGTACAGGTGTGGTACTATCAATTTTTCTCTCAGAAATGCGTGAATGTATGAATGGTATGCGATTACGGTTGTCTCACCGAATATTTCTATATTGGAGGAATTTATACATTTCTATTTAAAATTTATCAACATACAGTCCATGCGAAATGGGAATCTCCAAAACT